CAGCGACCACGATCTTCATGTTTTAAAACTATTATATAATGAGTTTATATATCATGTACATAACACTTCCAGGAATAACTAGCGGCGAGGCCGTTCAGCTGACGCACCTGTCGATAACACGTCGGGTCAACTCGAAGTAGCCCTGTGCGATATAACCTACCTACCGCGATGGACTAACATCAACGCTAGCAACAATAAACTGTACGTCGGTGGCAATCGCAACCAGATAATTGACGGTTACTACAGCGTGTGCTCTCTAAGCGACGAGGTATTTAAACCACTGGGAGCCGAACTCAAGATGAACGACTCAAACGGCACAGTGGTGTTAATCAACAACGGAAGAAACTCCTTGAAGCTCGGCCGACCATTGGCGAGAACACTCGGTATGCCACCTGACGAGGTAAAACCAACGACTACAGTCACAGGCGCGAAGTTACCCGACCTAGTACCGTACCGAGAGCTGTGCATTCATCTCAACCAGGTTAGCACAACGGACAATATTCAAGGAGGCCACCCTTCCACTATACTTAGAGCAGTGCCGGTTAAAACGGAGAAATACAACGACGGCAGAACCGAGTCGTTTTCAACGTGGCAATATAAGAGGTTAACCCAAGGTAATATCCCTGAATTGATAATATCGGTGTTAGATATAAATCATAATCTCGTGAATATAGGATACCTCAGCGTAACACTGCACATAAAATGACCAGCGCACAAGGTCCCGGAATGAAGTTGAAAAAATGCATCAATGTGGGGATCTCCGACCTCGGAGACACACGCGGATTCGACGACCCCGGAGTGGATGGTAAAGTGTACGCCTTGCAACTAAAAAACAGCATTTACAAACGCGTTGAAGTTCCCTCCGGTGGTACAAGAGCGGCAATCAACACTAAGTATACCCTTGTCAACACCGGCGATGCCTGGATAATATACCCATCGTTCGGTGGCAAACTGCTCGACTTAGACGATGTTGAGAGCAACGTGACGGCTATCACAAAAAATAAACCATATACACTCGTCTTCACCGACGATGACAAGTGGGTGTTATTACCCGATAAAGCTGACTGGATTCTCAATATTAAGCTCGGCTCCCCCTACGTGTTCACGGATAATAAAGACAACTACCTAAACAAAGTCGTTAACAACGGAACCCTGCTAGTGTCTTACATTCCGGCTCAGAGGCGTAGCGTAATCATCAGTCCAGTCGCCAGTACACCATCCCACATGCTATCGAGTAAACCGAGCATGCAAAACGTTGTATTGCAGTTGGTGTCTGAATTCGAAGGCGTGATCAAGATCCTGGAGAGTATACCGGCGAACTCAACACTGGTCATTCAAGTATACCTAGGAGAACCATCGCGGAATGATGTAGAGATCGTGAAAGGGGTAAAACTCCGGTGGGGGAAACAACAACAGTATCACGTTTGTAACGTTTACGTTCGGGTTGGTGTCGTCTCCAAAACCAGTCTGCAGGGAGTCAACGTGATCGTGGAAGACGTGATATCACTAACCAAGATATTCCTACCCGACAATATACATTTTATGGGGTTGTACTTCACTCCTGAACTATTATCAGAAAAACAGTTGGAAATTATATCGTAATAGTATTATAGCAATGTCTTGGCTTCGTCCCAACACTACGTTTAACGATTTAGGGGATACGGAGGGATTCGATCAGCCTGGTGAGGAAGACACCTTGTACATCCTGCACTTCAAATACAATGTGTATAGGCGGGTGTCGTTATCAGATTTTAAAGAACCTGAATGGTTAGTCAACTTAACCCTCACCTCACCTTATATCACATTAAAGGAACAAAGTCATATCTCTGAAATTAAGAACAGCGGTATCTTGCCTAATACAAGAATTATTCTGGGCTTTAGTTTACCCAATAAGTTACAGTCATTCCACGAGGGTGAGTTAAGGTATGACTGCTACGGGCACATAGGGATTCCGTCTATGGTACCAGGCTCCACACTTATCATAGAAGTCTATATCGAAAGAGTTAATAGTAATAATACAGTACAACAACTTTTACCTGGGGTGACAGTACACTGGAATCCCCATAACTATGGGCATTACCGTATCATCGTACAGACGGACCCCTCAACGAGTTCTATAACCTCCTCAATAACCCCCTCCCGTGGGTGTCGTGTGGATGCAAAATTACCTATTGTATTCTCACCTGTTCTCCTACATGAGGATTTATACCTTATAAGCCTCAAGTACGTTGATCAACTATTAACTGAACCCCAATTAAAATATCTTTTGTAATATATATTATAGGATGGGACTGTATCCAGGCATAGATGAAGTAGCGAAGACCCTGGAAACCGTAGACGGGTTTCGCTTGAGGCAGTTATGCGATGTAAAACGTCAATTAGAACAAGACCGCGATAAGCGGAAAGCACTTTATAAGAAGTACCATAGAGCTTTCAACATCGTGGATGGGACTGATACTACCCTTATGGCAACTAGCATGGGACTAGGGGCAGTAGGTGTTGGGTTGTTGACAACCATCGTAGCTGCACCCATAGTGTTGGGACTCGAAATAACGGCTGGGGTGTCAGGGTTGGCTGGATTGGTATTTAAATTTGTATCCGGTAGACTGCATCGTAAAGCATTGAAACACGATGAGATCAGGGTTCTGGCTGAAGCAAAGCTTAACACAATAGATGATCATATTTCCACCGCGCTCACAGACTCTAAAATCTCTGAGGAAGAGTTTCGTTTGGTGCTATCAGAAATCACAAAATATAACAACATGAAACAAGAGATTCGATCCAAGTCTCGTAAAAGTACTACTATCAGTGAATCCGAGAAAAAAAAGTACATAGAACAGGGAGTACAAAAAGCCCGGCAAGCCTTTATAACGAACACCAAAAATATAACAGACGATTTACATTAAACTGTTTCATTGAGGCCAACGTGACATAGCGGCACGTGGAGCCATACAACATAGATAAAGTTGACATCAAAGCAGACGAGCCTAACTTGTACTACTTGAGGGATGGACCAGGTAGGGGGTTTGTAAGAGAAGAATTATTGATCGTACCGTACGGTACAGTGTTACCTCCTGTCAACACGGCATAGGGGGACATTTTGCTTGAAATTTTTATAGGTTGAGAAAGCAGTAGGGGTAATGGTAGCAAGAGCTAAGGGTCCGACCAAAGCCTTATTTGGGGAATAAGGCTTTGCAGAGGCTTTTGTTGGAAGTGATCCAGGACTGTCTTTTTATCTACTACTAATATATTTTCTTCCGCTCCCGCTTAACTACAAAACACCTTATCGTACATGATTCTTTCGTCTTCAAGTTCCAAGAAATAAAATTGCATTTGCAGCAATAATATTTGTGTTCCTCTGGCAGACATGACATAGTGGAGTTCCAATGTGTTATTAACCACAGACTACGGGTTATGAGTGAGATATCTGTTTATTTCCATATCGTGGTGGAAGAAGACACCCCGTAATAACAATAATATACACGATATATACAACATAAAATCACATCTGATGAACATGTCATCATAATAAATATAGCGCATAAATGTGCCTATCAACAATCACATACAGGTATTACGCGATGCAATATAACACATGTGACTTACGTGATCACATGTTTACAGTGATATACAAAATGAGTGTTGGCATAAAGACTTATAATAATACATGGTATAATAATGAAATAGGCAATAGATACTGTACAAAGAAACCTATCCTGTGGGTTACACGAGAGTGTATCTGCACATCCAGCAGCCGGACAGTCAACGCATGCAATAATCCCATATAGGTACCACACATTGATCACATGTAATCTTTGTCAAGTACATACAATATACATGATCGATGAGATATATCAATCTTACATGATACAGAAAATAGTTATCAAACAACAACTACTAGCCAGCACTAGATATCCACTAGACAGATAGAAAACAAACCATAAGCACATTCATACAAAGTAAAAACGTATATTGTGTATTGACTTTTATTTTGTTATCCTGACCCGCATGTATAGTTACTGTATCGCCTCTCGATGTGTTTTGAAAACCATTATTTACGCTGCGCTAATAGGCTATCTGACAAACACGGTAGGAAGAATACCGCACTACCGTCGTCGAGCAAATAATGACGCAATCAACTGGATTCCCGAGGACTTGGTATTACACACATTCGATTGATTGTATGACTGTTTTCATTCTCGGAGAATTTACAAAGAAAACAGTATGTGATAACGTCTTTGTAAAATTTAGGGGTAAAACATTTCGACAAGAAGTGGGCATCCCCATGGGCACCAATTGTGCTCCCCTCCTTGCGGGTCTGTTTCTTTATGCATCAGAATTTCTGCATGGGTTGGCAAAATCAAAACAAAGCGATTTGACCAAGAAGTTTAACTTAAGCTTCAGTTATTTCAATGATATAATATTGTTCAATCACCATCAAATCGCCAATTGCCTTCCACTGATTTGCCCACTTAAACTTCAAATTAAGGAGACAAGTGAGTCTGCCTCAACTGTTTCAATCATATTTAGATCTATGCATAAAGTTCCCCTGAAGGTTCTGGTTAGAATTGATCTTCAGTAACCCATGCTTGTCGTAAGAGGCGACTAACGGGTTCGAGTGGTCAGGCTCGCTGACTTGGTTGACACATGTCATCGGTTCCCAATTGCGCAGATCGATGCCGCTCATGCTGTTGATCATTGGATTGTCTGGTTCAGACTCCATTATTTACAGACCGCCACCATTTAGCTGGAACATTGCTGAGTGCGGCATAAAACTAAACTCACTCATTCTGTGCATACAAATTCATTGTGACCAAAAAAACCCACTCTCCACAAGGATATATGACAAACGGAAACCAATATTCCTTCCTTTGGTGTTTACATTTCACAACTTTGGATCTGTAATCGAGCGTGCCTTTTTATCAGGGCGTCATGTCAGTCTTGCTCAGAAGTTGTTTGATCAAGGTTACAACATTCAAGGCCTCAGTAAAGCTTTCAAGACGTTTTATGTCGGAAATTTCTAAAATTGATCCATCAATTACAAAAATGTGTGCGTGTCCGGTGCAGTTATCTATTTTGACTTACAGCACAGGTTACCGAATTATTTCAGGTGAACAGTTAACATAATATGTTTATGACGGGTGTCACCGGTGGGGCAGGATACGCTCACCTTTTCGCGAACACCTGGCCCCGGGGTCATGAAAGTGACTTAAGTCTAAAATTTGCTTAAGTCTGTCATTTTGATCTTAAGTCCAAAAATTGTATTTAATCGGGGATCACGTACATTTTTTAGTCTTAAAAGTTAAGACTGAGATCATTTTTTGTCTTAAATCCTGAGACTGCTACCTACCAGTCTTAAGCCCTTTTTGATGCAGAGTTTTTTTCAGGCGCACAATTTCATAAGGTTTGAAAAGTGAACGTTTTGCGAGATTTGCGCTCGCGTGGTCCTGGATCTGCGTACAGCTATAAAATTACACGGAAATGTGGAATATTAAATTTCCTATCCGTTGGTATAAATATAAATGCAAAAACCTCGGTTTGAGAAGTAAACACTGCTAAATGATGTCCAATATTTTGCTATGCATTCAAAAACAGTAAATTTCTCCGGTTTTGATCGTCCACCGGTAAAAGCACTGTGCTACGATTTTTTTAATTTGGCATCTTTACAGAAAGTGTGAGCGAATAAATTACAGCCTGCTATCTGGACGACATAAGTATTTATGAAATGGGTTTATTTGCTTATGCATAACGTTATACGCTCAACATTAAAAATGACTCTAAAAAAATGTCAAAAATGGATTTTCTTCTATGACGTCAAAGGACGACAGAGAGGTCATATGCGTATAAAGATAAGGGGGCATAACTCCGCTATGCTTAACACTAGGTCAATGTAACCCAGATCACATGGAGAGAATTCGTTGTGGATACGGACGCTATATTTTCCTTATGTTTTGTTTACCGTGAACCAAACTACATGTATTCCAATACAAAGTTCCCCAATGTGAGCGGATATTTTAGTAGTTTCACAAGTTATAAGAAAAGATGACAATGTACTATACATGAGAAAGCACGTAAAAGCGATTTGGATGGCCCCATCCGATATTTAAATTAGTTCTTAAATTTACATATTCTCCTGTTTGTGTAGATGTATTTTGACTGATTTTGCATCATTATTTACTGAGTACTAGCAATATCTTCAAATATAATGAAATTACTGAAAAGATTACAAAATTGTAGTTGACGTCATTGCTTGTTTTATGTATTTTGCGACGTCGGAAAAAAACGACACCGGTGTGCTGATCAGTATATATCACATAATTTCCATGAATTGTGTAAAAGGTTTCGGTTTCTATGTCAGAATTTAACACTCTTGTGAAAGAACTTAAAATGACTGATTTTACCATTTAAATAATGTCCTGAATAGATCCATAATTAGACGGTTTGACTTTGTATCTTAATATGAACAACACACGCACCTGTTTGGCATCAATTTGACGTAAATTAAAAAGAATATTTCACAACCCCTGGCCCCGGGGTCATGAAAGTTAAATCGCTATTCATAACCTGTTCATATGCAACAGTAATATTGGTCCCAATGGCAAATATAGCACATGATACATGAACTATTTAAGTACATGTTGCAGTTACACCTTCGTTTGTTCTTCTAATACTTGTTTAAGGGTTTAAAATATGGTCTACTACACTCAGTATATCAATTTCTTATGTAAATATTATTCAAACAAACAAACCCCTTGAAAGAATGAAAACCGTATACCCTATATCCAAGGATATGATATAGAACAAGGCTAAATGTAGATAATGAAAGATACTCAAAATATACACTGAAAGTGTAATTAGTGGAACATGGCGATTGTGTCTACTCTTATTCAACCGACCTTCACCTCAAAGAAATTGCCAAATATGTAACAACAATGTTGATGTATATGACATCACGACCGTTGACCGATTTCTTACAAAATGGCGGCTTCGGTGACATGGGTATACAGGATTTTGCGAGGACCTTTCCTTTGATTCGGGGATCGTTTGTACATAAATGTGTGATGTGAGTAATCGAGATGATTCTGACTATCTGTGTATTGTTACATGTTTTATCGTTTTCATTGTAAGTAAGAGAAGAAGCCAGATATGCCGATCATTACCGTTGTTGTTATGCGTTACGCTGCATAGAAACTTTGACAATTTCCTTTAAACATATCACATTACTGTATTGTATCTATTATTAATTTGCTATTTTTTGCTACGATACTATTTCCATGTATGTTCTAAAAGTATTGAACCTATGCATGCTACGAATAGACGAATGGGTGTCTGAAAGTAGAGAAAATGCAGTACACAGTGTAAAGTCTCAATGTTTCTTTGTTTACATTTCAACAAGTGCTGTCTTTCGCGCACAGCGTTCGTTTCATATCACCTAGACACTTGGTATTAGTGACAAAGACCATTTCTTATTTGATACTAAAACGTATGAGGAATTCAGTGATGTATTTGTCACAGCTGAATAGAAAATATACGTGATGTGATAGGCGTCTCAATACCGGCCTTCGCGAAACGTGATTTTGAAAACACTATCCAATGCAATGGCAGAAAGCGCATTTAGGCGTTCGTGTTGGTGTATTTCGAAAACATCCCAACCTTAAAGACACTAAAATTCACCGCGGCAGGGATAAAAGAGTCAGTTGACTTGTTTGGAACAAATTTAAGAGTGACCGGACATGATTACATCATTCTAAAATTACCATGGTAACTGTCTTAGTCTTAGTCGTAGCTAAGATTTGGCTGAGACAGTTTCATGATCCAGTCTTATGTAAAATCCTAGCTAAGCAAAAGATTTTAGACTTAAGATTTTTTTGTGTTAAGCAAATTTTAGACTTGAGATGTTTTCATGATCCCGGGGCCTGGTATCATCGGTATTTGATAGTGATTCATAAACACATGCTCTGTCATCATATCGCATGGTGACAATCACTGGATTGTCTGGTTCAGACCTGATTTGTTTACAAACAACATCATACAGCTGTAATACTGTTGAAACAAATATCTGTTCACGATATCGTCACAATTGTACAATCGAGAGATTTCTTAATATGAATGTCGAAAGGGTTTTTGTTGCTTCTATTGTTCATTTTAGTTTCGTGTGCCATACACACGACAATGACATGTAGGATGTTTGAACATAGTCTTGGCGACTGTCGAGAAAAATGTGGTCACAAATCGTGCTAAAAGCGTGCAACACAACAGCCATGTGCAGCGTCTTACTAGATCACCTTTGTGATGGCACCAGTATTGGAATTGCACTTGCATTGAAACTGCAAGTTGAATAAAAAAGCGAGTTTGACTTCATCCACACATTAGCAACGTAAGAGGGTGATGGATAGGCTGAAGGCTGAAAAATCCTTTGCGGCAGCCCTGGTTTTAGAACTTATTCTGGAGACCTGTAAGCTTCCGACGGGCATAGGTGCAGATCACCCTAGGCCCGAGGCACTAGGTGTATCGTCACACCAACATGACGTACAAATAGGTTACAAAAGATGTTTTCACTTTTCCACTAGCTGACAGCTGTTGTTCAGACGTTAAGAAGGGGCTGTGGGGTATCCTAGTGGTTAAAGAGTCCGCTCGTCACGCTGGAGACCCTTTTCCGATTCCCCACATGAGTACGATATGTGAAGCCCATTTCTGGTGTCCCCCAACGTGATATTGCTGGAATATTGCTAGAAGCAGCGCCAAACCATACTCACTAACTCACTCGTTGATCGTTACCTCAGACCATGAAGGATCGATTGCTAACTGCATGTATCCGACCAACCAAAGGATCTTGACTCATTGTAGTGTGCTCAGCGTTTACGATGGATCCAGAGATACGCCAGGGTGTGTCGTAAGAGTGTTGTGTTCGTGAGGTTGACTGATTTGGAGGGCATTTGTTTGACCATCATTATGAGGCAATCTCAAATTATTGTTGTCATGGAAAATCTAACTATCGGGACCATGTTTTGACCCCAGTCTGTCTGCCATCCGTGCAGTTACAGTTTCCTGGACTGCCATTAAAACATGACAACGCTACGTTCTCTAAAAAAAGTATTCGATCAATAACGTGAGAGCATCATTGACTATGATATGACTGGCCGGAGGTGCGCGGTGCGTGTGTGTGTGTGCGTGTGCGTGTGTGAGAGAGAGAGTGTGGTCTTACAAGGGGTATTTAGACCTTGGTGTTGGTCCTGTTTTGATCAAGAGGTATTTCTGGAGTTATAGGGAATATGTAGTCCTGTGTGGAGGGGGTGGTTGGATCGCTAGGTTTGTGTGGAACAACATTGGGCTTTTACACCACGTTGTAAGGGCTATGTGGATTAAGAGGTTTATGTGGGACTATATGTGATATTTTGACCTGGGTGTTAGTCCTGGGTGGGTCAAAAGGTTTATGTGGGACAATATGGGACATGTAAACCTGGGTGTAGGGGCTGTTTGGGGTATCAAGTATTTGTGGGACTATGTGGGACCTGTAGATCTGGGCGTGGGCGTTGTGTGGATCAACGGATACTTGCAGGAAAATAGTATCTACTTTGGTTTAGGGGTTTTGTGGGTCATTTGTGTATTTGAGGGACACCAAACAATAAGAAACATTAAGCAAGCAGTTTTTCCGAATTTCTTCATCAAAGCAACCTGAGAAGAAAAACGTAAGGATGTATCACATTTCTTTTGATATAGAGCTAATTTTGATATATATACATATGGAACACCTAGTTCAAAAGCATGGCATTTTCATGAATGATTTATTAATGTGTTATATCTTGCTGTACAACATGATATATAGTTTGTGGAGATATTGAGACTTACGCAACGGTATTACGTAAGACACGGGTGTAAGTGGGAGTGCAATTTGATTGTAACGATACCAATGACGTTACTCTATTACAAAGTCAAGGTAACTCTTATAACCCTAAGAAAATAGATGCTCGAATCTGACCGCCATACAATATCGGATCATATTTTGACTCCA